CTCCCCGTGGTAGATGCGAAAGAAAATGCAAAGGGATGCAACATCTCTTCGCAGTGCCACCTGCACTCACCAGAAGAAACGCAGAAGCAGAGCTTCTACTTCACGCCGGTATTCTGTGCGGTCGTGGTACCAACCCGGCTCGAGCCGGCCCATACGTGCAACAGCAAAAACTGCCGCGTGGCTCTACCACTGTTATAGTTTTGTTAGGAACTAACAAAACTATAAAATCCGAGATTTAAGCGCGGAGCGTCAACATTCGCACTTACGAGGACTAGAATAATGAGGCAGTCGATACAAAATACCAGTGTAATTAGCAGCATTATGCTGCTATGTTTCGTATGTAGTTAGTGGCGCGCTTTCAACTAGAGGTTAGGAGGCATTCTATCTCAGTCCTTAGGTGTGACAAGGCTTTTGAATTTTGATTCATAATCGTGGTAATTTATAACTGGTAATTTAATTTCTTTTAGGTGGCCATGCTGCAACCATAACTACGGTTGTCTCACGAATGAGTTTGCCCAACCGGGGAAGGACCACGTTCTCACAGAATACCAGCGTAAAATAACAGCTCAATGCTGCTGTGTTTCGTTTGATGAGTGTAGATAACCGGAGACCCTTTTTACTGGAAACGAGGCTTGGGACAGCACTTAGAGGTGGCAACGCATCTACATGTTGATTCTTAATCGAGAATAAATATATATATATATATATATATATATATATATATATATAAATAATGTAAACACTCACGCATGTCACACAGAAGGGTAGGCAGAGATTATGGACTTCCATTTGGCACGATCCTGACAAACCTTTCTCGCTTCCACCACATCCATATACCTACGCATACACGATCATCGGTTAAAGGTACTCTTGATTTGGCCCATTTTCAATATATCGCCAATTTGGTCGATAAATTTTTGTCCCTTCCCGACTCTGCAGTTCACCTCTGCAACATAAATTTGTTTTGTCACCCTTTCCTCATTCATTCTTTCTACATGACCAAACCACCGAAGCATTCCTTTCTCAATCCTGGTCACAACATCATCTTGCAAACCACACTCTTCTCTTATCACACAATTTCTCACTCTGTCATTCAGATTCATCCCTAACATACTCCTTAATGACCATTTCTACAGCATTTATTCTACTCTCGTGCTTCTTCTGCCACACCCTACTTTCACTACCATACATTAAAGTAGGGCCTAATACAGCATTGTGAATTGCCATACGTGCCTTTTTGGACACATTCTGACTTCTCACAATAGGGTGTAGAGCCCCATTCACTATATTTCCTGCATTCACTCGTCGTTCTATATCCTTATCATGTCTACCATCTCTGCTAAATACACAAACTCATCTACTTGCTCGACCAATCCCCTTCTATTCTTATTTCACACTAGCTGTGCCCGCGGCGTAGCTCGCGAATATAGGTTTTACTTAAAGAATTTGACGTTTAGGGTAAGAGAATATTAAACGATTTATATCATTACTGTATGAATAAGTGGTAACAAAATAAATCGATATGCTCAAAGTTAGAGTCGTTTATGATAGAGCTTCTGTGTAAACGACGATAGAAGTAGACTTCGATGTTTTAACATCGATGTTGACATATGTCAAACATCGAAACATCGACGTGAATGAACCCATAATCGATAATTGGGAACTTGCAAACAATGCGAACTCGTGAAATCAATATCAACTAAATCTTGCATCTGCTCTGAAGATTAAAAATTTTGAATAATTCAGTATTTCGGAACGCATCGTTAACCTAAAAAAATGTCAGTATGGCGAGTCAAACTTAATTGTCAAGTGTCTCCTGTAACTGCACAATGGTCACTGCTTTCGCTTTATTTTGCAGTGTCGTTGTCGGTTGTCGCATAATAACTCTTCTACGTAAATTGATATTCAATTTAATTGTTACTTTTCCCTTGCTGTGTATACCCACATAATTTTGAAACAATGTGTAAGTATCTACACATATACAAAAACCATCGATAATGGTCAACATCGATGTTTTGAGTAGCCTAAACATCGAACATCGATGTTGAGCTATCGATGCCAACATCGATGTCATCATCGATGTTATTATCCCTATCTTAAAACTGAAGCCTGAGCCGTGGTAGCTCAGATGGTTAGCGCTCGCTGTAAGCTTCACAGTACTCGAGCAACCCGGCACCAATGAAATTGTTAATTGCAATTTTAAGTGCTGATTTACCACGTGCTCGGCGGTGAAGGAAAACATCGTGAGGAAACCTGCATGTCTGAGAAATAAAAAAAATATTTCGATGACATGTGAAGTTCGCCAACACGTATTGGGGCAGTGCGGTAGACATTTCCTTGCCCTAAAACCCTCTCAAAAATGAGAGGAGGCCTGTGCCCAGCAGTGGGACTGGGACGTAAATAGGCTGCAACTTTACTTTACTTAAAACTGAAAGGAAAGTTATTTGGTATTAGAGGGATTCTGGGTATAAAACAATATCACTATCACGACATTTATTGCAATTTTGCTACTTTTAGTCGAGTTTTGTTGAATAATTGAATATTTTAATATCTCTTTTTTTCTGGTTTTTGTTTCTGATGATTTTTGTGGTGTGTTGTTAGCCTACACGGCTCTTACAGGCAGGCATAAATTACTGTATATATACCTTACAGGCTTGCAAGTTCGTCAGACTCATGGACATTATTTCAGTGAGTCTCAATACGATTCACCTGCGAAAAATCTTAACACCGCAATTCAGAAAAGGTTGTAATTTGTACAACGCCATCTATTACGTTCTTTGTGAGAAAACATCCTTTTTTAATTTAAGGAAAACATATTTTTTACTGTGTTTTAAGTATTATAATAGAACGATACGAAATATATTATAATAGAACGTTTTTTTTACACACGAATCTTTTTATTACTATTTATGAGATTTTGTGGCGCCATTTAACAAATTCGAACTTACATTTCAAAATAATAATCATAATAATCATAATGATTTTAGTCACAAATTAATATAATATACAATATTCAGAAACAGACACAACATGTTATTACCATTTTTATTATATGTATAGATTTAAAGAGAGATGGCGCTGTTATCATCAATTCTAAAAATAAGAGATTAATTGACACGATTGATACAATAAAAAATATAAAAGAACTTATAAATCAGTGCCTGCATAGTAAGCAAAAAATAAAGTTTGGTCCTCGCCGAAAAACGAAATTGTTAATAGCTCTTAAAATTTGATTTACCACATAGAGTACTCGGCGGTAAAAAAATAAAAAATAAATGAGATTGTCAACACGCAGTAGGGCAGCGTGTCGTTAATATAAAGGTTAGAAGCAAATATGAAAGTCATCTACGGGAAAAAAATTTAACCTGCCTTTTTGTATCACTTTTGTGCCACACCACCATCTATCGATGAAATTGGTTAACTATTGTACTTTAATTTAGTTTAGATAATAAGGTTAATATATTTTGTATATATTTATTACGTTCTTTATGTAATACTTTTGTTTACTGCGTTTTAGATATAATTATATCATTATAGAACATTATTTTACATCATTTAATTATGATTTATAATATGATATTAATTTTAAAATATACTTGATGACTCATCCAACGCCACTATTATACAAATTTGTACCTATATTTAGTACCCATACTTCAGAATATTTGTCATAACTTTTGATGGAATTAACCAATTTTGATGAAATAAAGACTAAATGTAACCTGAATATACACTTAATAATTTCCTTAACTATTCTTATGATATAAATTAGTACTTTATACGTGATACGTTAACAAACAAACAGACAGACAGACAGAAAGACAGACAGACAGAAAAATCTAAAAATGGTAGAAATGTATTTAATTACTTATTTTTAGTACCTCTGAATCACTTTTATTACAAAAATATAAAATGTACAGACATCTGCTATTTACATTTTTATTATATGTATAGATATCGTTTTACTTTCTTCTCTTTCAAAAACCATAACTTTCGTCTTGCGTTTATTTTCATTCCCTTTTCTTTTAATGTCCTGTTCATTAATGTAACCATCATTTGCAACTCAGCCGCCGACGACGCAAGTATGACTTGATCATCGGCGTACAAAAGGCATTTGACGGTTAACTCACCCATTCTTAACCCGCATTCGTCTACTTTCAAATTTTCCAAACCACTGTCCATAAATAGGTTGAACAGCCACGGGGAAGCCATACAGCCCTGTCTGACACCTTTATGGATGCCAAACCAGTCTGAGTAGGCTCCGTTGATCCTGACACAAGCACTAGAGTCCCTATACAGAGACTTCAATGCCTTTATCAACCTAGCGCTCAACCCAAATGAGTTCAGTGTTTGCCATAACACATCCCTGTCCACTCTGTCATAAGCCTTCTCCAAGTCCACGAACGCCCAAAAAACTTTTTGGTTTTTGGCCAAAAACTTCTCCGCGATCATGCGCATGGAATAGACCTGACCTGTACATCCCATTCCCTTTTTAAGTCCCGCTTGCACATCCCAAATTTTTCCATCAGTTTCTTTCATAACTCTTTCAATTAGTACCTTCGCATACAGTTTTCCCACAATGCTAAGAAGGCTGATACCACGGTAGTTTTTACAGTCCTGCTGTGATCCTTTTCCTTTATATATTGGGATTATTACGGCTTTGCACCAGTCTACCGGTACCAGATTAAGTTCCCAACATAAATTAAACAAGGTGTACAGCTGGTCTGCCACCACTCCTTCTCCAGCCCTTAGCATTTCGAGAGATACTCTATCATATTCGGCTGCCTTACCTGGATTCATACTTTTCATTGCTTTCATTATTCGATCTATACTTATGTCTCTATCTATTTCCTCCTCTTTCGGAGAGAGAATAAATAATGTATGTGGAAATACCGTAAATAATGTAATAATGTGTATAGTATTCACTTACCATCAGATGGACTGTGTGCTCGTTGGTCACCCTTATTCTATAAATAAATTTAATATTCCTAACGTTTCAGGACCTGGATCTTCAAATTCTTTCACCTGAATACCGTATCACGGCCTCACAATTGGAGGAGCAGCTGAAAAAGTTGATTCTTGAGGTGGACTCAAATCAAAAGGAACGCCATCTGTTGGTAGATGTTCGAAGCGAAGCGGAGTTCAACATGTGCCGCATAGATGGCGCTGTCAACTATCCAATCGATCAATTTCGAGGGGACAAGGTGGACGAGATTTTGCGAATGGTCAACGATAAGAATCAAGGTTGGTCTAAGTTATTTCAAGGTCAGTGGGCGAAGCCGAAGCAGCAAGGGGTGTTAAAAGGGAAAGAAACGTTACTTAACAAAAAGTAATATGTACTAGGCTAGCATAATAGTACTTCTAGTATTATTACGTAAAATTCTTTAGCAACCCTTGACAGTCCACTGCTGGATCAGGGCCTCTCAAACTGTTATAACAGTTTGTCGTAACCGCCACTTATCGTCAATTTGTTATTTTGTTAAAAGTTAAATGTGTTGTAGCGGCACTGTAAATTATTATTACAATGATGCTCAATGGTGACTTAATATTTTTTTAAACGTGGTAGGGCCGTGCTTGCAGCTATGTTATATTAGTAGTATAGTTGTAGCACGAATGGGTCGGCTCGACCAGGAAAGGACCACGCTCTCACAGAATACCAACGTAAAATAGCAGCTTAACGCTGCTGTGTTTCGTATGGTGAGTGTAGAGAACCGGATACCCTTTTTACTGGAAAAGAGGCATTCCATCTTAGTCCTCACGGGTGACGACGCATCTGCATTTTGATTCTTTATTGAGGATAAATGTAGATGTTTATGGGTCACAGCAACCACTTGTGCCCGTTTATCACTCTATCGTATAAGAAAAAAACCTCTTTCTCAATGTCGTGATACATAGAAAAAGTTAACGTTCTGTAGCATGAAGCAAATACAAAGAGGAGACGTTGTAATTAAATTTCACTATGTAACATCGCGTGACAATTTGCGGGGTGAGGGGATGCAAAGCCCCGCCCACTACACTATCTACATCTACCGATAAATAGTAAAACTACGCGAATCTTTCCATATCGATGTTGCAATGTAGCTTAGCTACCTTGACGGTAGATGGCGGCATGTCCACAAAATGTTATAAACTATAAAAATAATATTTTGGCGATTAAAATTTCTCTATGTCTGAATGTAAAACAAATTTCAGCACCTTCGTATGATTATTTTATCATTACTGAGCTCTACGTACCTTTATATTTTTAGTTCACAGGACACAAAGTGTCGCCATCTAGTGTGGAGTATATTTAATTATATTTGAAAGCAGACGCAAAGAGATTTTTCTAGAAGTATTTTAATAAATTAGGTGTCAAATTACTTACAAATGAAATGTGATGCCAACCATAGCATCGGAGCGTCTATCTCATGAAGCAAATACATTGAGACAGAAATTTTAATCGCCAAAATAATATTTTTATAGTTTTCATAATAATTTTGGGAACAGGCCGCCATCTGTCGTCAAGTAAACCTCATAAAAAATAACAAAAAGACAGGGCCGCAATTAGAATTCAATTATTTTACCCAGTAACCCAACATTCAATATTAAAATGAAGGAAATTGTACTTGGCTGATTTTTACGAAATGTTTAAGTTATATTTAAGTGACATTCTATATGCGAAGAATCACTTAAATACAATTTAATGTTCTTAGATTGGCATTCAAAAAGTGCATTCGGATGCTTAATTTGGAATAAAATATTTATATTTTAATTGATTTGTAAATAGAAAGTAATAAAACAACTCATTATATATTGGTTCTGCGCCTGCTCTCTCGCTCCGGTCGTGTCGGCTTACCGTCCCATCGGACTATGAGAGTGAGGGAATAGAGAGTGCACCTGTGCCTGCGCATACACTTGTGCAATACTAATCTTATCCAGCTAAGATAAATAGTCTCCGTTGAGACTGACCGCCGTGACCCGCAATTTGGTCTAGAGGACATTAATAGTTTTTTTTTGTGCAGTGACATTCGTCTGTAGAAGAGGAAACGACTCTCAAATAGCAGCGAAGATGGTTATAGACCTCATTGATGAAGAGCATAAAGGCAACGTGAAGGATCTGGTTGGCGGACTCCACGCTTGGTCCGATAGTGTAGATAGAGACTTTCCGATCTATTGATTTGTATTTAATAAAAACCTTGTTAATGTTCAGTGTTTTATTTCCTCTCTTTGTATTTTTTTTTATGGAATAATGGTGATAAACGAATACACTGTCTACTGGACGGTAAGTAGATGTGGCCCATAGACATCTACCTCTGTTTTTGATTACGAATCAGAATGTAGATACGTTGTCACCCCTGAGAACTAAGATGGATTGCCCCGATTTCAGTAAAATGAATCTTCTGTTTTCTACTCTCACCATACGAAACAAAGCAGATTTTAGCTGCTATTTTACGCTGGTATTCTGTGAAAGCGTGGTATTTCCCTGGTCGAGCCGACCCATTCGTGCTACATACAACCATAATATGCAGCTTAGCTCTACCACGTGTTCCACTTTGTATTACAAAAAGCCTTTAAGAATTAAAGAATTTTTACGTACGTATAATTGACGTACATAATTATTTACAAAATCATTAGCCATAAGTAAGAATTTTTTTTTTTACTATGCGTTGAAGTAATGTCAAAAAAGATCGTCTTTCTCAGACTCAGATTTGGCGGGAAACTGAAGCCTATGGCACAGCCAAAGAGAATATAACCACTTGGGCACAGCCTAAAGGCCGCTCTTCATGTTGGCCAACATAGTGGCAAATGTGTTGGCCAATACCGATGGCCATCGTGTAGAGCGGGTGTTTGTGCTTCACTTGGTATGTATTAGAATGATGGCCTACAAGTTGGCGCGAGATCCGTGTGGTGTCGGTTATTTCCAAAAGATCAAAGGGTTGTGGCAGAGTTATGTAATATAACATTTATGAAAATGTAATGTACGTACACAAAATGTTCGAGACGGCCAAAATGACTGTTCAACAACGGCAAAAATGACTTTAAACGGGAAAGTGATTACTGCGCCCTCTTTTCCCAAAAGAGGGTCGCTTTACGATACGGCATGTGAAGCTTTCAACAGCTAGTTGCCAGTCCCCAAAGGCGGTTTTTAGTGGGTATCACTTAGGTCCCCCCGGTAGGCTGTGAGTCCCACATAACCACGATGGATAGCCATCGTGGTATGCGTAATGCATTTTCCGCCTCCCGTAAAGGGTAGCCCTTTTCCAAATTGCTTCGGGCGCAAAAAAAAAAGGAATATTTATTTGTTTAAAAAAATGAAAATACGGAAAAATTTACTAAATAATGTATTAAATATAGTTTCACCATGTATTTACAACTCTCAATATGTTTGTATAGAAGGTCGATTTGACAATAGTTAATATAAACAACTTTATTTTGTTTAAGAAAATATCGACCAATCACAGCGCGCCGCGCTATAGAACTTTCTGGAAATTTAAATTAACTGCGTAATAGTTTTAAGCAAAAAATTAATGAGAATAATTTTATGTCTGAAAAGAGTTGTAAATATGGTATTTAGTTAGCATATGATGTATAGATCGTTATAATAAAGAAATATTTTGTATAATTAAGCACGATTTAAAAGTTATAGGATAATTAAAGAATTAATATGACCAATTAGTGTAAAAGTTTAGGACATTTCAATGAATAACTTTGTTAAATGTAAATATATTAATTATCCTTTATCGCATACTAATGTAGAACAAAAATGTCTATTTAATGATGTATAGCATGTTAGAGTTAAGATTTGTATTATATAGAAAAGTTGCAATTTGTGCCATTTGCATAAAGAAAAATGATTGAAAATAAAGAGGCAAATGGGAATTGGCAAGCGGCTCTCTATAGAGTATAGCCGAAGTCTACCTTATGGGGGCAAATCACAGTAACATTGTAGTAGGAAGAACTACCAGTAACAAGCAGCAGTATCCGGTAGTAGCTGAAGTGACTAGTAGCAGAACACAGTGAAAAGTTAAAGTGAAATAGAAAAGTTTAGCTAGCCGAAAAAGGTCGTAACTGAAAAATCGCAGTTACACATAGTCCGAAAAAGTGGCAACTGAAAATTCTCAGTTGCACATAGAAAAATAGTGTCAGCTAGCCAAAAATAGTGGTAACTGATATTCGCAGTTACATATAGTGAAAAAGTGTTGGCTAGCTGAAAAAAGTGGTAACGGAAATTTCGCCGTTACATTTCGTGAAAAGTGTTAGCTAGACGGAAAAAGTGGTAACTGATATTCGCAGTTACAAAAGTGTTTAAATTCAACTAATTTTAGTTGATTAATAGCTGCTAGTCAGTAGTGTTAGAAAACCAGCTGCTACCAATAGAAATTTTGGATACTACCAATAGAAATTTGTTACTTTCAATAGATATTTAAAATTACCAATAGAAATTGTAGAGAATACCAATAGAAACTTGTTATTGCCAATAGAAATTTGATATTACCAACAGATATTTTAAAAATACGAATAGAAATTTTAGAAAACCAATAGAAATTTTAATATTACTGTGTGTTTAATTAAATCTGTGTTTTAAAATATATAGTGAACAATCATAGTTGAAAAATAGTGATAAATAAATAACAGTGTAAAATCTCGCGACAAATTAATTAGTCGATCCGCTGGCCACTCCCTTGCTATTTTAATTTACAAATCGTGCATTTTAATTTTGAACCTCAGTCCACAGTTTATCCGCAGCAACCAAAGAGACGGCAGTGAAAGACGGCAGTTGGAGGAGTCTGGAACCTACAGGTGTAGGACGTGAGCGACTCGCGGGGTATCTCCGACAACATTTACTCCGGAGAGTTACGCCCGTCCGGCACATTTTATGGTCCTTCGAGCCGGATTCTTCCACCTGTACTGCCGGCTGGACCATTTTATGGTCCTTCGAGCCGGATCCTTCCGATTGAACTGCCAGCCGGACCATTTTATGGTCCTTTGAGCCGAATCATCCGTATACACCGGACCACATACGCTGGTCATTCGAACGGGATTCGTCAATCCGTTAGTATTTCGGAACCGGGTAAATAATCACTACCGTTTTAAAGTTGCTGAAATTTCAGAATCAAGATGCCGATCACTCGTTCGCAAGGAAGGGGAACCATGGCGTGGACTGTCGGTCTGGATGATGGACCGTCGGACAATACCGACACCGTCCGCCACCAGATGCCACCACGCTCACCATCCACAACAGAAGGCGCTGAGGCGCCAGCTTGCCCCCGCGATGGGGGGGTACTCCTGCCTGTGCCAGCCGTTGTTAAAGCCGGTACACCGAAGCAGAGAGAACAGATAGCTTGCCCCTGCGATGGGGGGGTACGCCTGCCAGTGCCAGCCGTTGTTAAAGCTGGTACACCGAAGCAGAGGAAACAAATAGAAGGCAACGATGACATTCGCTGTGCATCACCGCCAACAGCCCGGGTATATTCCCGCGCCGAAGAGCCACCAAGGGGCCACACCGATAAAAGTACAAGGTCAAAGAAGACCACTCGGCCCAGTAAAAAGGTTTTGAAGGCTCGTGAGGAAGTGCTGAGAATAAAATTGGAACTCGCACAGATCTCATTACAAATGGCTGAAGAAGATGATGAATCGGACGACTATGATGAGGATGGTCACTCCAAAAGTGAGTATGTCCGATCTTGGCTCGAAAATTCTGTAGCCAAACAAAAGCCAACGCAAGGCGCAACCACCGGTGGGGAGGCCCCACTTAATAAAAACATCACAAAGCCACCCCCGGAGGTTGTCGACCTCAGTGAGCCGCCGATAAAGCTCACAAACAAGGATTCGAAGGTTGATGAAGAAAGGGAGCTCCTACCTGCTGTATCAGAGCTCACCTACCAGGATCCCAATGCTGAAAATATACCGAAGAGTCCCGTACCTCAGAAGGCTTGCCAGGACTCCAAGGTTGATGAAGACAGGGGGCTCCTACCTGCTGTATCAGAGCCCGCCTACCAGGATCCCCAACCGGAAGAAGCAACCAAGAATCCCATAATAAAAAGACCTAACCAGGCACCTGTCAGCAATGAAGACAGGGTGCTCCGACCATTCATATCGGAGCTCACGTCCGCTATAGCCGCACTCGCTGATAAACCAAAACCAGAGAGTGCATCGTCAAATACTTTCGCAGCATCAAAAGCGATAATGACACTGCCGAGCTTTAGCGGAGCACATACTGAATGGCTTTCGTTCCGTGCCATTTATGAAACTACCCGAGGCTACTTCAATGACATAGAAAATACTGCTAGACTACGAAGAAGTCTACAAGGAAGAGCCTTGGAAACAGTTAGTTCGGAACTCATCGGGCATGCTAAACCAGATGAGATTATGCGAGAACTGGAGCTACAATTTGGGCGTCCAGATTCAATCGCGCAAGCAGAAACCGATAAATTACGGGGATTGCCACGCTGTACAGAGGCACCCAGAGATATTTGTACATTCGCGAGCAAAGTGAGGGGAAGCGTCGTCACACTTCGAGCACTCAAGCGAGACCATTACCTCGTTAACGCAGAGCTGCTACGACACCTCACAGACAAACTGCCAAACTCTATACGCGCGCAGTGGTATAGAATTTATACAGAAAAGTATGACTCAAGACCAGACCTCGGTTCCTTCAGTGAATTTATCACCGAACAAGCTCGCTACTGTAGTGCATTTGCGCCTCCTGAGATCATAAGCGAAGCGCAAAATAATCGTCCAGTGCATAGGACGCACACGGCTACCACTAAGCCGTCTCCGAAATGCAGTGTGTGCGAAAAAGAGGGTCATTACGGATCCGACTGCAACAAGTTTAAAGAGGCAGATATTGATAAAAGATGGCAACTCGCCAAGCAAAGGAATTTATGTTTCCGGTGTCTGCGTTATAGAAGTCAGACACACAGATGCAAAACCACGAAGTGTGGAATAAAAGGATGCAACGCGACACACAATCGACTCCTTCATAATAATAGAAAGGAAAAGACAGAGGGCCCACTAAAAGAACCTCAAGAGACAGTGGCAAACTCATTCGCTGTATCAAAGCATCAAGCTTACTTGCAGATAATTCCAGTTCGAGTAATTGGACCGGCGGGAGCAATAAACACACACGCTCTGCTGGATGATGGGTCGACAGTCTCGTTAATGGATCAAGAGATT